CCCCCCCCCCACACCCACCCACCCCAGTTCTCCCCATCTCAGCCATCCCGTTCCTCCTCCATCCCCATCCATCTCTCTCTACGCTTGGGGGGAGATTTTGGGGGAGGGGGACTTTTTATTTTTTTTTCCAGCAGAGAAGAGGGGAGCTGGGCAGCCTCATTGTTCTCTTTGTTAGCCCGAGCCATGCTGCGATTAGCGTGGTGACATCATGCTCTACGCTTCCCATTGGCCTGCGTTGCTTCCCCACCAACCACGCTCCCGGTCGGCACCGGGACACCCAACTTTTTTGGCACCCCTATAATTTCACATCACTGACCTTTTTTAGATATGGCACCGCCGAACCCAGGATGGTGAGAGCTCGATAAGAACAGCTGCACATCACGTTGTTGCCCCACGCCGGGACAGCATCTTGTTGTGTTCAGCATGGGGACGTGGTTCCGTGTTTCCATGGGGGGTCTGTGGACCCCTTTGGTTTTTTGGGGCTGACGTGGAGGATGCTTGTGCTGTATCAAGAAGGGTTACAGTGCCTGTTCGCCCTGCTGCCTCATCCCAGGGTCACCGATGGGTTCCCAGGGCCACTTATGGTGTCCTGAGCTCACCAATGGTGTCCTGGGCTCACCGATGGGGTCCCAGGGTCACCAATGGGGTCCCAGGGCCACTGATGGGGGTCCTGAGCTCACCAATGGGATCCTGGACTCACCGATGGGGTCCCAGGGTCACCAATGGGGTCCCAGGCCACTGATGGGGTCCTGAGCTCACCAATGGGGTCCTGGGCTGACCGATGGGGTCCCAGGGTCACCAATGGGGTCCTGGGCTCACCGATGGGGTCCCAGGCTCACCAATGGGGTCCTGGGCTCACTAATAGGGCACTGGGCTCACCGATGGGGTCCCAGGCTCACCAATGGGGTCCTGGGCTCACCGATGGCTGCAGTCCCCCCTGCTGCACTCTCCCTGAGATGTGCTTCATGTGCACCATCTCTGCACCCACTCTTGGCCCCCCCAGCACTGTTGGCTCTGTGCTGTGCCCCCCACACCTCATGCTGGGGTGGTTTGGGTTCAGCTCTCAGCACTGCAGGTTCTGCCCAGCACAGCAGTGCTGTGTGTGCTGGGGATGGTTTGGTGCTGTGCGAGGGGACCGAGGGGTTTGTTTGGCTTTTTGCATTGGTAGAAATAGGGAGGCGGTGTCCAGGTGATGGGAGCTGTGCTGGGGATGGAGAGATTCGGGCACGAGGTGGGCATGGAAAAGGGATCCATGCCACAGTGAGTGCGAGCGGGGCGTCACTGTGCTCTCTTCCAGTTTAAATGAGGGATGTGCGAGGCCAGAACGGCTCTGGGGCCTCAAAACCCAGCACAGCCCTTCCTCCATCAGCCTCCTCTTCCTCACTGTCCCCCACTGCTGCAGGGATTGAGGTCCCTCACATCCCCAGCTTGGTGTTGACCACGTGCGCTTTGGGGATGCTGGGCTGGGGCAGCGCTTTGGGGCGGTGGCTTTGGGGTTGATACCAGGCTGAGGGCTGCGTGTCCCCATCCCATGCAGGTCTGTGAGCGTTCCTGCGAGCTGTGTGTGCTGTTGGGTGGCACTTTGGCTGCTGTGGGATTCCTGTCCCTGCAGCCTGCATTGCCCTGTGTTTGAGTGCAGAGCTGCAGGTCCTGCAGTGATCTGGCAGCACCGTCCGACCTGCACCGCGCCGTCCCACACGGGCTGATGCATGGCACAGGGTGTTGGCTGCAGTTTCTCTCTTTTCTTTCATTTCTCTCCTCCAGAGTTAAGTTAAACAGCTCAGGAAGTAAACCTTTGTTGCACGGAATGCATCGGTGCCATCTCGGTGCTTGTGTGACACAAACCAAAGTCCCAGGCTCTTCTCCGTGCCCACCCCACAACGCGGCCGGGCAGGATTACGTGGCTGTGCCTCCTCGTGCAAGCCTGGTCATGACTCCATCCGTGGGAGGGATTGTCTGCTCCAAATGCTGTGGGCACCGATCGTTTGGCTCTTTGCAACCAGCAGAAGTAGGGCAGCGGTGTCCAGGTGATGGGAGCTGTGCTGAGGATGGAGAGATTTGGGCACGGGGTGGGCACTGGGGTCCCCGCATCAGGATGAGGGTGGATGGAGCATCCTGAGCGCTGAGCTGTGCCACGTCCCCGAGGGTGACCCAGCTCTGAGCAGAGCTCCCAGGGCTGTGTGCAGGCAGTGTGTGGATGGGCTGTGGCACAGCCAGCCCATGGGCAGTGCCATGGTGTCCTGCTCCACATCGTCAGCGCGTGGGGCTGCGTGCAGGGCAGCAGAGGGCAAATAGGGCGCAGAGTTGGATTTGGGAGGATTTGGAGCATTCAGGTGGTGATGAGGTGCTATCGCCGGGTCATCGTTTGGTGGTGATGCTGTCTGTGCTGGAGACCCCCAGGGTGAGGACAGAGGATGGTGTGGATGTGTCAGGAGGGGTCTTTGTGGGCTGCAGCTCCCCTCGTTTTGTTGGAATTTTTTTTGGATCTGCGGCAACACTTTGAAAGCCACCTTATTTATAGCCTCGTAGAGAAGTCTGGCACCTTGTTTTCCTCATCCCTCAGCATTGCTGCTGCACGTTGGGCCACCCCAGCAAACCAAACCACAGCGGGATGCAGGCGATGCTGGGGGACCCACTCCATCCCAGGTCCCCATCGCTGGGGTTGTGCCGTGTGGACTCAAGAAAGATGTGGCCATCTGGGCTGGAGGCGTGTTGGGACTGATTGAAAATAGCTCCTGCTGGTACAGAGCATTCCCCCCGCTGCAGGCTGTCGGTGAAGCCATGTGTTGTGCAGTTCGGGTGCACCCCAGGTGGGGTGTGGAAGCTTTGGGCACTTCCCAGAGCTGCCTGGGGATGGGACTCGGTGCTGTTGGGCTCTGTGATGCTGATAGACCCCTTCCAGTGTGGGATATTCATTGATTCTATGGGGTTGTATGGGTTTACCATGGGGCCAGCAGACCCGTGGCTTGCTGTGTGTGGTGTATTTAATTGTGTCACCAAATTGCAGTCCAAGGGGGTGGCTGGGATGTTTAGGGATCAGCCATCCCACAGCCAGCGGGCACCAGCCCCGTTTCTCTGCTTTGGGTGGAGTTTGGGACTGGAGACGGATGCGTCTGCTGCGTTCCCAAAGGTGGTGGCACTGAAGCTCTCAACCCCAAACATGCTGTGAATCCATCAAGGTCCCCCATCCCTGCAGCACATCCTCAGAGCCTCGATTCCCAAATCACACCTGGTGCTTTTTAGCAGCTGAGCACTACGGGCTTTTCCTCCCCTTTTGTTTCCTGGCCTCTCCCCCAGTCATTGAGATGCATGTGGACGTGTGAGTGCAAACCCCACATGTGGTGTTGCTGCTGCCTTCCCCCGATTTGCAATGCACAAAGCAGGGCAGCCCTACAGCAGGTGCTGGGAGGGCAGCGCGGGGCTGCAGCAGTGCTGACGCTTCAAAATAATAAATGGGTCTTTGGTGGCTGCTGGTTCTGCCCAGCTCCAGCGACTGGGCCGCTGCTTTCCCCGCCCCTGCGCTGCCCCCAGCCATAAATACACCTTCCAGTTGCTGTCCTAAATTAGGAAAAGCGCCGTCAAACCCTTCTCCACCCACATTCTTCCTTGGCGAGCTCTGCAGCCGCGCACGGCTTCACCAGGAGCAGTGCTGGGACCCGGGCGGCTCTGGGGTTGCAGGAAGGGCTGAACTTGGATGGGAATGGATCCATAGGGCTGCATCCCCAGCTGCTCTCTCTGTCCTGGAGCTGCACGCCGGGTTTTGGAGCTGTGTGTGGCTCTGCTGCCTCTGTCCCCCGTTAGGTTCCCTGGGGATGTCTCCGCATGGGATGGGGCTGCTGGGGGGTCGTGCTGTAGCCCCCCGGGGCTCCCTTTTCTCTGCTGCTGGGAATTAAGAGGAGGAGGAGCTCTCCTTACACTCGCAGCTGCTGTTCTGTGTGCACCGCAGAGCTCTCCCGGTGCCATGCAGCTGTTTGGTGCTATGAATGGGGATCTGCAGAAGCAGCACAGGGATGGGCTTCAGGCTCTGCTTCTGCTCCCTCCGTCCTCTGGGATCCCAACTTGGCTTTGGGTGTGCTGTGTAATGGTGCACTGGAGAGAGGGCAGAGGCTGTGATCAGTGGGGCTGGGCAAGGCAACAAACCCCCTCTCAGCTGGCACCCACCTTGGAGTCCCCCCCTAGGAGGAGTTTGGGATGGGTGAGGATGGGCTGCCGGTGTCACCCAGTTCACCCGTCACTCTGTGTCCATTCCTGCTGTGCTTGGGCCATTTCCTGGCTTAGCAGCTGGTGTGAGTTGTGAAGCAAGAGCCTTCTCCAAGGGTGTCTGGGCTGCAGCTGCAGAACCAGGGCGCCTGTTGGATCCTATTGGGTCCTGTTGGGACCTGCTGGATACTTGTGGTACCTGCTGAGTCCTGCTAGTTGTGGGTCCTGCTGGCTCTGCATCTCTCCCTCCTGGGCACTGTGTTCTCACGAAGTCTTGGCTTTGACACATCATCTTTTTCCCCTTTTCCTTCGCTCTCCAGGTTGCAAAATCAAAGCCCTGCGTGCCAAGACAAACACATACATCAAGACACCGGTGAGGGGCGAGGAACCCATCTTCATCGTCACCGGGAGGAAGGAGGATGTGGAAATGGCCAAGAGGGAGATCCTCTCAGCTGCTGAGCACTTCTCCATGATCCGAGCGACACGCAACAAAGTGAATGGGCTGACGGGTGCCCTGCAGGGTCCCCCCAACCTGCCGGGCCAGACCACCATCCAGGTGAGAGTCCCATACCGCGTGGTGGGGCTGGTGGTGGGCCCCAAGGGAGCCACCATCAAACGCATCCAGCAGCAGACACACACCTACATCGTGACACCCAGTCGTGACAAGGAGCCCGTCTTTGAGGTGACGGGAATGCCCGAGAACGTGGACCGGGCCCGCGAGGAGATCGAGGCCCACATCACCATGCGGACAGGCTCCTTCGTCGACGTCAACGCCGAAAACGACTTCCACACCAACGGCACCGACGTCTGCTTGGACCTGCAGGGTGGTTCTGCCGGTCTGTGGGCCAAAGCTCCACATCCAGCCCGCCGGCCCGCAGCCGCGCTGCGCAACGACAGCCTCAGCTCCCTGGGCAGCGCTTCCACCGAGTCCTTCTACAGCGGGCGGGTGGCAGATAACAGCCCCACCAGCCCCTACAGCACCGGCGGTGGATTCACCTTCAGCGATGCGCCGGCCCCGCTGGGCTCGGAGGAATGTGACTTCGGTTTCGACTTCTTGGCCTTGGACCTGACGACGCCGAGTGCCGCCGCCGCCATCTGGTCGCCCTTTGAGCGTGCTGCCAACCCCCTGCAAGCCTTCGGCGGCTCGCAGAGACGCAACAGCGGCACGGCCACACCGCGCCATTCACCCACTTTGCCCGAGAGCACCGGAGGGGCCTTGGAGCATCCCTTGGCACGCCGCATCCAGAGCAACCCCGTCAGCACCTTGTCCTGGCTGCCCACCCAGGGCTCGCTCTCTTCCTTCTCCACCAGCACGGGTTACTCCTCCTCCTCATCGCTGCCCGGCAGCGTCTCGGCCGCCTCGGGCTCACCCACCGACTCCAGCAGCTCCGACGGGCATCGCAAGAGCTCTCGTGAGTGCATGGTGTGCTTTGAGAGCGAGGTGATCGCCGCCCTGGTGCCCTGCGGCCACAACCTCTTCTGCATGGAGTGTGCCATGCGCATCTGTGGCAAGGCCGAGCCCGAGTGCCCCGCGTGCCACACACCGGCCACCCAAGCCATCCACATCTTCTCCTAGCCGGGGCCAGCTTGACGCGGCGAGCAGCCCCACTCCCCTCCCCTCCAACACAACTTTTTAAGGACTTGAAGCGGTTGAGGTCAACGCAGCCGTTGGGGTCAACACAGCCGTTGAGGTCAACGCAACCATTGGCATCAAGGCAACCGTTGGGGTCAACGTAGCCGTTGGGGTCAACGTAGCTGTTGAGGTCAACGCAACCATTGGCATCAAGGCAACCGTTGGGGTCAACGTAGCCATTGAGGTCAACACAACCATTGGCATCAAGGCAGCCGTTGGGGTCAACGCAGCCATTGGGATCAACGCAACCGTTGAGGTCAACGCAGCCATTGGGGTCAATGCAACCATTGGCATCAAGGCAACCGTTGGGGTCAACGCAACCGTTGGCATCAACGCAACTGTCGGCGTCAACCCTTTTTATTTAAAGGATCGGACTGGGGGTGTAGGGGTGGGGATGGAGATGCTATTTTTCTCCCGCTGGATGGAAGCCGGAGGGCAGGATTGCGGGGAGGGAGGGGGCAGAGCAAAGGGGTTGGGAGGGCTGGGGAGGAAGGGGCAGACGAAGACGACGAGGAAGAGACACAGAACCGCAGAGAGGAGCAGAACCCAATGTTTACAGAATAGCTTTAACTCTTAGCCCGGCTGTGGCGGCTGGGAAGAGGAAGCCCAGCTGTTCTTCAACAGTCCTTTCCAAATAACAGTATTCAGTTTGCAAAGTTAAATAAACAGAAAGAAAAGGTCCGGTTGCACTTTTTATTTTAGGACACGCAAGGGTTGTCTTTTATTTTTTTAAAAGCATTCTATTATTATTATAATTTTTTCGTTGTCGTTCTTTTTGTATGTAGTTATTTTTTTGGATGATTCTTGACGGTTCTATAAATATATTTTTTTTGTAACACAGGTCTTATCTTCTATTTTGCCAATGTGAAAACTGCCCAAAAAGCATTACGAGGGGTTGGAGGGGTGAACATGGCATGTTGCAAAAAGAAAAGCAGACAGATTTCTATATCTCCTTTTTGTTTCGTGGTTGGTTTTTGTTGGTTTTTTTTTTTTTTTTCTTGTTGTTGTTCTAGTTTTATTTTTTTATTTTTTACCTCTTTATGTATATGTAGGGAATTTATAGGAAAATATGTACTTTATTGAATAAATTTTAAAAACTAAAATATATTTTATTTTAAAAAGAAAATAACGGACCTTTAACCTTACATGGCTAAAGTACTGATTATATATTTGCTGAGCTGACTTGACGGTTATGAAAATTGTATCAAGAGTTTTATTTTTTGACTTCAAAGCCTTCTTAATAAAGACTTTTTACTATATACGAATCCGCGTGTTGCCTCTGCTGCGTGGCCGCCTCCAACCCGTTGGGTTTTGGGACCACTTGTGGGAGAAATGGGTTGGGGTCCATGGGTTGGTGTCCATGGGTTGGTGTCCGTGGGTTGGTGTCCATAGGTTGGGGTCCGTGGGTTGGGGTCCATGGGTTGGTGTCCATGGGTTGGGGTCCGTGGG